AGAACAGATTTTGAATGATAGTTTATGGACGATGTATGATATAAACTCAAAGACTGCTGGAAGTTATCAGTATCTATAACTCCAGGTCTGTACAACTCGGGAAACAGTCTGATGTATTAGTTATAGGCTGTCCTGCAGTTTGTTAATACATGTATTTGAAGTTGTTTTGTAAGATATACATACTCAAGAATTCTACAATTAATGGAAATGATGTTGAGTTGTATGATGTAACTCCCAGGACTCTCAAAGCTCTCACTGAGGTAGTTTAAATTGTTATTATATTAATTAAAGGGGCCATTGTCAGTAAGCTGATGCTGTCAGAAATAGAAAAAAGTAGTTCCCCGGTAAGCTGGTACGGAACCTGTACTTCGTAAATCTCTGATCAATCCTGAGTCATATTGCAGAACCAGGGAGATTTCATCATAAAGTTTCATATATTTTTGTCAGGAAGATATTTTTTGAGGCCAGTGCCATGTTCGCCTTGCGATGATATTTAACAGGGTTGATGTAGACCTGGGGCTACCGACTGTGGTTCAGTGAGTCGTACGGCTAGGACACAATAGATTGGATATTGTCTGTTCCTGACTCAACCATGGTTTATAATTTATATAACAACCATGTACTCATTTAACAGACTTTATTGAGACTTTCTCAGTTGATCATGCCCTTAATGTACCATCCTTGTAAATTCTTTATGAGGCTATTCCAATTTACCTTGGAGTAGCCTGACAATCTGCTGTCTCCTTCATGGTTACCAGGTAACGCTGATTGCGTCTGACATTTTTTTTTTTGACATTAGCCATATTCCGATACCTGGGCGTATTTCCTGTGGCCACTAGTTCTTGTTAATGTCTATATAAACATACAGATATACCCTGCAGTATGAAAACTGATCCATGCACTCGCATCACTCATTGATCCAATACTGTCATAACAAAATTGCCCTGTATTATAGGTATTGTCTTGGGGCTTAAATGATTAACCCTAGCATCTAAACTCATATTCAAAGAAATTACCATAGCGACGAAGACTGGATGCAAAGAATCTGGAGGCAACCTAATGATGGCGCACACAGGAGCAACGACGTATTAAATTTGTTGTGTACATTTTCAGATAATTGACTGCAGCCTGCTAGTCATTTGCCCTTTACTAAATAAAACAACATATGTGAGACGTCAATATTATACAACATGTTGTATTTCCTAGTGTAGTTTGTCTATAGTTGCTACCTGCCTACAGCACACCTTATTTTACCTACATCACACCTTATTTTACCTACAGCATACCTTATTTTACCTACAGCATACCTTATTTAACCTATAGCATACCTTGTTTTACCTACAGCAAACCTTATTTTACCTGCACCATTCCTTATTTTACATACATCATACCTTAGATTACCTACAGCATACCTTATTTTGCCTTCATCATACCTTATTTTACCTACAGCAAACCTCATTTTATCTACACCAAACCTTATTTTACCTACAGCATACCTTATTTAACCTATAGCATACCTTGTTTTACCTACAGCAAACCTTATTTTACCTACAGCAAACCTTATTTTACCTACAGCATACCTTATTTTACCTACAGCATACCTTATTTTACCTACAGCAAACCTTATTTTACCTGCATCATTCCTTATTTTACATACATCATACCTTATATTACCTACAGCATACCTTATTTTACCTACAGCATACCTTATTTTACCTACATCATACCTTATTTTACCTACAGCAAACCTCATTTTATCTACAGCAAACCTTATTTTACCTACAGCAAACCTTATTTTACCTACAGCATACCTTATTTTACCTACATCATACCTTATTTTACCTACAGCATACCTTATTTTACCTTCAACACACCTAACTTTGCCTGCAGCACACCTTACTTTGCCTAGAGCATACCTTATTTTGCCTAGAGCATACCTTATTTTACCTACATCATACCTTATTTTACCTACAGCAAACCTCATTTTATCTACAGCAAACCTTATTTTACCTACAGCATAACTTATTTTACCTTCAACACACCTAACTTTGCCTGCAGCACACCTTACTTTGCCTAGAGCATACCTTATTTTACCTACATCATACCTTATTTTACCTACAGCATACCTTATTTTACCTTCAGCACACCTGACTTTGCCTACAGCACACCTTACTTTGCCTACAGCACACCTTACTTTGCCTAGAGCATTACCTTATTTTCAAAATGTGTTCATTTAAGTTCTTCCCTGATGGTGTACAATTAAAATCATTCAGCTAAACCTAAATCTGAGTTTCACTGCTGATTTTTATTAAACAGAAATTAATGTAATTGTATACCCTAAATAATTGTATATGCCAAATAGCCACACTAGCTATAATGAATGATGATAAGAAATCATCTTGTTAACCTTAGAAAAAAGGCTATCTTAAAATGAACTATTAAATCTTGTGATTTTTTTAAAATATGTTAATAAAATATTTGTTGTCATCTGGAAAAGCAGTATGAAATATATAAAGGCTAACATTTAGAGATAATTCTGGTTCTATCGACTACTTAAGTAGCATGTGGTAGTGTTGTTGGGTATAAAAGACTAGTCATCAATGGGCAGATTTTTTTAGTTTTCTTGCTAGTCTGATTAGGAAGACAACAGACAAGGTTGATGGTCATAGATTGATGAATGATATAGGGATAAGATGTCTGGGTGTCCCCCAGTGTAGATGGGTGTCTCCTGTGTGAGGATCGTGATTGTCGATAGTGTAAATACTGACTCCTCAGTGTGCCGAAGCCCTACCTCATATAAATAGGTACGTAACTTAGGCATCAAAGACCTGTCAACATAGGTGCTTGACCACTCTGGCCAATCACCAACTGATAAAGGGTTCTTGATCTGACCGATTTGACCAGCAACCAGCCAGTTCTGACCAACAACCATCCCCTGCAGCATCGGTCCACACCATCGCAAGTCAATAGAGATCACGTTTGATTCAATTTCCCAGTTAAACATTTTCATGTAGCGACCATTTCTTATGAGATGATGTCTGCTGTGTTGTGGGTGATACTAAAAGGAAACGTGTGAGAATTGATCGCGAGTATCTCGTCAACAGCGATGCTGAAATAGCCTCCATTTGGCTACAGTCATATGGCTTGGTCCTAAAGTGGCTCAATTTGGCCCCAATACAACAGAGCCAAACTTTTCAGTCAGGCTTGCTGATTTACAGCATTGATTCCAAACTACACAAATATTTGAACTGAAAAGCTGGATGGTCTGTCTGTCTTTTATACATGGTGTTTTTGTATAACAAATGGATGAGCTAGAATCCTGATCATCTATCACTGTATGTAAAGTGATTTCTAGTTGTAGTTATAGACTCGGTATTCCACACAGGAGTGGGGGATGAGGAAAGTATAGTATAGGTTTAGAGTAAGATTGATGGTATATGTTCACAGGGACGAACCCGATAGATGGATGGCAGTGTATATAACCTTTATAAGGCTATAAGTAAGCTTCATGTTTTGTATTTGAATGTACTGATACAAGCTGTAAACTTATAAAAACTTACGGTAAATGTTCATGTGAGGTTTGTATAATCTAGATTAATATTAATGTCAGCAGTTTTTTAAGTATAAGGTATATACTCATGTGGAACACTATCTATCTAGATCATAACCTCATATTTAAGTAACTTTACATAGAGTAACGTACTGCGTTCCGAGTCAAAAAGGTTGCTGAGGATTAACATGGGACATATTGGTTGTACTTCTCCGTATAGTAGGTGAAGCTGTCAAGCAGTCAAGGAATTAACAGACACATAAGCACATATCTTTAACTCATTCACCCCCTAGGACACATTTGAACTCTTCCAATTCAAAGGTTGGAATAGTTCATTATGAAATTTCAGGGGTGAATGAGTTAATATATGTTTTACTATAAAATAAGCCAACATTGTACTTCAAACTGTACATAGAGTGTATTGAATTATCTTTTCAAATCAGATTCTCACCCCCTTAATCTAGACACATGTAACTGACACAATTTGTAGAAATTTTGTTCATTTTGTTCAGAATTTTCTAAGGGAAGGGCATTCTTGAAATATGAATGTAATGAGAGTTTTAAAATATTGCACTTTCTTAGAAAGAAAATAAAGGGCAATTACAGCTCATTTAAACTTAATTGTTGTTGGCAAATTGCTTTTCAAAGGGAGACAACTCATCAAATACTAGATCATCTGTACTCTTGCAGTCCAAAATATCAAAGCCCTTTAAAATCTGCATTGAAAGCTCATTTAAAGGGAAGATGTTTTTATTTTTCTATCAATTTTGTAGTCATTGTCTTCCAGAAGACTTCTGCGAAGTTAAACATGCTACAATCTGAAAACAATCAAACATCTGATCATACACACAAAAAATCCTCTTTCCTGTCATACATTTTAAATTTAATTTGTAATTTGCTCTAAAAGATGCCATTCGCAATTTCCATTGATCTAACACTAATATAGCGTGCAGCTATGCCGTCTGCTCGTACTTGGGAGTTCCCATTGGCCTAGGCAACATGTCACTTGAACTTCCACTGTATGTGGATTTTAGAGGGAGCAGCAAAATACCCAAATACTTATTTCAGTATAAGATGTGAGGTGATAGATGATTTATTTATCAATGAAGGTGCTTCAATTATGATCTGCCACAAAGTTTCAAACAGCTGGAATGATGAACCAGTGGATCTAAATCTGTGATTTTAGTCACCAGCACAGCTCAACTGGCCTATCAGTGGACCTATATGTATATAAATATATATAATCCTGTGATCTAACCCCAGCACAGCTCAACCGGCCTATCGGCAGACCTATATATATAGATCTGACAGCTGAACTGGTCATCAATCTATATAACACAACTCTTTCAAAATCCAGTCCTAAAATACATAATTACCGAATGATTGTTTAAAAAAAATGATTGACAAGGCATTTGTTTAACGGTTTTATTTCTGGGTTATAGGTACTCACTTTTACATATATCATTCTGTCGGATGTAGCCCTGTCTCTCTGCATCGTGTGATGTCCGTGGGAGTTTCTCCCATTGTCTGTAGCGTACTGAAACACATAAAATGTAACAATTATAAGTCTATAGTTCTAGATTAACTTCTAATGAAATTTGGTAAAGAAAATGAAAAACGTAAGGTTTTTTATTAGTCAAGCACCAGATGTTATAAAAACTAGGGGTGTCATATAATACGCCAAGAGTGTATCACGATATATTGCAATACAGAATGAATATATTGCTATACGTATCCCGATATATTATGTCACAGGAAGGATGTGCTCAATTTTATAATAAGTTGTTGACATTATGTAATTAAACTTAACCATGTGTTACGCTTCTTGGTATATCTGTTAGAAATTGTAGTAATTTGCAAAGTTAAAACCCCAAGCAGATACATAAAAATATGCTTTTGAAAAATATTGCGATACTGCAATATTTCATCTCTGTATTGTGGTACAATACGATATACCCGTGTATTGCGATAAACCTGTTTGCCGATACATTGTGACAACCAGTTTACTTTTGTCATAAATTCATGTTGTCATTGGGAGCCACATGTTGTGTAGTATAAAGGTTACAGTGTGCAATTAAGTGTGTAGTATTTCTTACTTGTGTGTAGTATTGACAACATTGCTGTCCCTATCAGATACACATAAACCTTTTTGTGCGAGTCTGTTTTAATATGCTTGGTGCGTATTGTGTTCTAATCAATGGCGTCATTTTACGTAATAGATTTCCGTGTCATAAGTCACACCTGCAGTGATCAATCAATAGCAATGTTTGGTGAGACCCTAGTTATACCTGTTTCCTGTCCTAATTGTCTGATAAGTCCACGCTTACCTGGATAATCCATAATCAATTATGCCAAAAATAAAATGTTCTTTAAAAATTCATATGTAAATTTCATACAAATAGCCCATACATCACTGATAATGAGGCTTTTAAGCAATTTTCTATGAATAATTATCTGTGCAGTATTATTGAGAAGCTGACGATTTTGTGTAATTTTGGCGAGATTTTTTTTCTCCTAATGTAAACATTTTTTCTTGCTGGCAGGAATTATGTATCATTTGGATCACGCAACAACACTTTCAAGTAATTTAAATTGTTTGTACTCATTATAATCCGCGTTTTCTGTTGCTTCATCCATTAGAGTAGATGAACTTTATTATCCTTGCATGTGAAAAGGTTGATTATGTTGTGTTTTACGATCAGGACAACCGTCTGTAAGTGTCACCTGTTACCTCCATTGAACACTATTCATGCCTCCTCGGAAGCTTTTCTACGATCTTGTGACAATTTACTGTGACACCATTTAGTATATCATACAGATGTATCCAAACATTTTTATATCAATATAATTATGTCAGCATAATATAGACATGTGCTGTCATGGTAACAGAGTATTGCTATGGAAATTGTGCTGTTTGGAAACTAGACCATTTTATTATTGAATGGTTTTGTTATTTGTCTTTTTACAGCATGGTCATATATTTAATTTCTCTTATTGTTTATGATAAGATTCATTGATGAAAACTTGTCAAAAATGGTAAATATATTATGGTATATTCTCTCCCATTTATAACCATTTTTCAATTTTTTCGCCAATGGTGTATAACTTATCACCCATGGTGTATATTTTAAAAACGCACATGGTGTTACTGACATTATGTTGTCAGAATGGATATTTATTATCACATTTTACTTATCATAGGTAAACAAAAACAATGTTTCATTTTAAGAACATTTTTTTTTATGATTTTGCTGCATAATTATGATGGTTACTTCAGCTGTCAATGAGATTGTCACTCAGCAGTCAATAAGATTGTCACAAAATGACCCTTGTGTGGGATTCCCTTTACCGATAATACAGGAAAGGCTGTGGAAATATCATTTCATCTGTGCCTGCAGACACTCTGCACGAGTAAAACATCAGTATCAACTATACTTATTTGTGTGAGACAGATTCCGTAACTTCTTTGATCTATGGAATTGTGAAGACTATTTAAAAAACCCACTCTAGATTCATTCCTAAATCAGCTTTGGGGATTTATCACACTTGAGCACAAAACTGTGCCATTGATTGTGCAACATAAAATTGTGGTATTTTATAGCCCAGACAGGACTAGTTCCTGAAGCTCACAAGACAACTGTGATGTTGCCACTATGAATCAATTTGTTAAATGTGAAATGATAAATCAGAAGAATTATTAAAGTTTAATGATTTGTTAATAACCGAGTCCAGCTGTTTGCCGCAATCAAACGGAAATTGTGGAATAAAAAAACAATATGGCTGACAATGAAACATGTGCATGATGATACTGTCCACACAACAGAATGTCTTTGATTATTTTACACATGAGAGAATCTCCATGGTAATGACCCTTCATTTCAAGGAGAAAGGGGCGTAGGGACCTGTGGTCACATGATGAGAGTCGGTAAAGGAAATCAAATCATCCTGAACTTGACCTAGCCTGCAGGGCAATGTCAGCCGTCCAGGACAGAAGATGATATTGGGGAAATTATATACCAAGGGACCAATGTCTGTGCATATTAAATGGACTAAATGGTGTGCTGAAATTTGATTGGTCAAATTAATCTGCATTTGACCCTCGCTACCTCTGGATAATGCTCAAAACAAATATGAGTCAATCTGAGACAAAACTGCCAAATGCAAGTGCAGCCTATCCCCAGTAGATAGGATAAAACCAATTGTCAGAAAGAAAACCTCCTCTGGGTTATTTACTGGTACAAAATGAAGACACTTATCATATGTTTCTTGTAGTAAGCCGCACAGAGGAGGGTCCAGCCTACCTCTCAGGGGGGGATGATGGTCCCTGGCTACTGTTAATATCTACCCATAATTAAATCACATGTCTCCTGATGGTCACTGCTGGATACCCTGCCAGCTTTATCTAAGCTCCCATAGGTTTCCTAGCATCACAGGGTTCATTGGATAGGAAACCTGGTATCCCCTAGATACGGAATATTACTGGATGGACATCTACTGGGATTAGTGCTGGCAAACTCAAGGAGGGCAGCTAGTTTCATATACATATCATAAATGGGATAAAATATTTAATATTTGTTTATGGTTTATTTCATATTTTGATAGAATTGTTAGGCTTAGTTGTTTGAAGTCTTATTGGCCGAGTAATGTTGATGCAAAAAATAGAAAAGAAAAAAAATCTAATTTTTGTCTCCGGGCGATTATTTTGAGTAGATTTAGTTTTAAGTTTTGAATTTAATCATTTAATTAATTAGTTTAATTTAAAGATTTGCAGTATTGAATCTTTAAGCTAAGTATACACAGCCTTTTAATGTCTTTGCTCTGGTAGACATACTACTGTTAAACAATGGCTAAGTGTAGCTGAGGTGATGCATCTTGATTCTTCTGGTAAACGTTCAGGGGGTCTCAAGGATGTTTTATTCACACCTTATTGAATTTAGGAGCTTGGAAACATATTTCGTTTTTACGACTTGAAACACAAATGTATCCAAATCAATTTTGACAGTCATTGGCCGACAGCCTTTACAGATCGTGATAGAATCTCCACGGGCTGATACCAGAGTCAGTTTTATATCTTTATAGTTGATGGTCATGCCTGATTAACTCAAAAGGTTAGCAAATTGTTAAACATTCCTTTAACGTTAATAATAAGAAAATTGATGCGTTTTTGAGGAGCAGCTAGATACCCTAACGCGTGACCAAATTGTTTTACGGCCTGCACAGCATATTGTTGACGTTGTATGATGGAGATACACTGTGGCTTCCGATTTTTAACAGGAATTAAATAAAAAACAGGTCCAATAATATTGATGTCATTACCCCTATAAAGACTGCTACTGAGACACAAACTATTAATCGATTTCATGCAGATTTTTCTTAATATTGTTATCTAAAATGCAATTTGTTTTTAAAACTTGCGACTTTTCATTTCCTTGTGGCCATCAATCTTAACTTGTTTCTCCTCTCTCTTAGTTAACACACAGTAGTATTAGCATCATTAATTCATAAATTCTGATAATAGAATTGCTGTTTCCCTGAACAGTACAACTTTATCATCGTAGCTGCCTCACTAAAATCGCTAGAATATGACTAGTTACATCTGTTGTCAGTATAGTAATTTGGATTTTGTCGATCGATTGTTCCTCTCCATCTTTAATTGTGTTTCTCTCTTACTGAAATATTGTAAAAAGATTTCGCTATAATATAAGTGTGTTACATGTATATAAATATCAATAACACCCGAACATTACAATTACAGCTGATGTCTAAATGAGGGGAAATAATCAGCTTTAGTCAAGTTTGGTAATGACGATGCATTAACTTTCTTATTCATCAATATATTTTAAGTTGATATTGGTATAATGACCGTGTGTCAGGAAAGTACACCTATCGACTCTAGATAGGCCGTTAAATAGGCAGTTCTCACTTGTGATAATTCGAGAATGCTTATGACGGTTAAGAGGAGCCAGTGTTTGTATGACGGCAGAGAAGTGTGTGTATGATGTCAGAGAGGAGCAAGTGTTTGTATGACGGCAGAGAAGAGCAAGTGTTTGTATGATGGCAGAAAAGAGCATGTTTTTATGACGGCAGAGAAGAGCAAGTGTTTGTATGATGGCAGAGAGGGGTGAGTGTTTGTATGATGGCAGAGAGGGGTGAGTGTTTGTATGACGACAGAGAGTAGCAAATGTTTGTATGACGGCAAGAGAGGAGCAAGTGCTTGTATGATGGTCAGAGAGTAGCGAGTGTTTGTATGATGGTCAGAGAGGAGCTAGTGTTTGTATGATGGTCAGAGAGTAGCGAGTGCTTGTATGATGGTCAGAGAGTAGCGAGTGTTTGTATGATGGTCAGAGAATAGCGAGTGTTTGTATGATGGTCAGAGATTAGCGAGTGTTTGTATGATGGTCAGAGAGTAGCGAGTGCTTGTATACACATTGTGCTAGTGGACATATTATACTGTAGAGAAGTGGAGATCTGTCTCCTGTTCACCTCCCCATCTCTACATTCAGACACGCTTTGTCTCGAGGGGTTGTGTACTGGAGT